GCCTTTTTTTTTTTTTTTTTTTTTTTTTAAGGAATCTACCAACTCTCTAGAGACCAGATTCTTACTGGCAGATAACTTGTACTGCAAAGCTTCAGTTCCTCCTACTGATAAAGTGTGCCTGTGGTTGGGGGTAAGTAAATGTTATAATCACAGCTTACATATTTGTAAGCCCGTGTATTTTCCTCAGCAAAACAGTATTGCTTGAGGTATTTAAAGTATTCATCTACTTTAGTTGAAGGCATGAAGGAGCAGAGATCAAGTACTTCATATTAGAAACTGACTGGAATTAGGAGTATAATGAAGATAGTAAAAGCATGCTGAAGGCTCTCCCAACCAAGATAAAACTGATCAAACGCTATTTTCCTTCCAGCTAATGCTTTACCTCTTTTAAATGTAATAGGAAGAGCAATAGAAGTAAAATAGAAAGTATTGCTGAACTTCGGATAAATGTTTACTTCCCATAAGATTTTAATAGTTCTAGAAAGATAAATCAAAATTTAGGGGAGAAAGGATTATTACAAAAACCTTGAGGTTAGAGTTTATTGTTTTTAGACATACATTTCAATTTTAGATGATTTCATAGACCTCTTCTGTGATTTTCCTATCTTGCTTCTCTTAGTGACTTGACTATCTAGCTAGCTGTCTATTGGTTTTATTACCTCTAGCAAGTTCCCATACAAAGTAGCAGGCAAAGGGTACTTCTCCTGGGAGGATTTCCCTAGGATGATTTCCCCTTGCTGTTGTCCTATATAATCGCCCCTGAGAAACACTCTAGTGTTATGAAAGATGGGCAGATTAGCCCAAGGAAACTCATTTCTTTATCCCTTAGTTTATCTTCCTGGTTTTTGTTAATTGTAATATTTGTAAAGTTTGTACAACATTTACATTTTATTCTATAACCATAATTCCTACACTTATTTAGTCTTAGTTCTGTATTTAAAAGGAAGAATTTAGTGTTTATCATGAAGGTATTTAAAAATACTTTGAAATATGGAAAGTACACCTAAATGTCTCAGTGTTAATGAATTTTTGTATTCAGTTTTTGCATGACCTTTCAATTCATAAATGCAAGAGTTACTTTATTTCAGAAAAGGTAATTTCTATTGTATATTTGAATGTGATTTTTGTCCCATTTCTTTTATTTTGAGGGGGAGTAATAAATATGTATATGTTAGATCTCATTTGTCTTTTCCTAATACCTGTATCTACAGTAGAACTTCTATAAGGGACTTCCCAAGGGATTGTAACAAACTGGTCAACATAAGGAGGATGGTCATCGTAAGGAACTAGGCCTCCTGTACTGTTACACATATGTGGTATATGTCTGGTCTATAAAAATTAGATCAACTCAGGGAGGTGATCAGTTAGGGAGATGGTCAGCTGTGGTTCTACTGTATTTGGTCTTTTTCATTTTGTATAATTTCCTCTGGCCTCTTCCCCATGACTTTGCAGTTCTGTTGTTTTATTGCCTTAATGATCGTTTATTACTTTTTCTCTTTATTTTCTTTGCTGAGCTTTTCTAGTTCTTTTTATTTTTCTTTTGTTTTATGTCTCTCACTTGAATTCTTAAATCCTTGTTTCTCCCATAGAGAAACTTCCCACAATCTTCCTCATCTCATTAAATGGTAGACTCTTTGTCTGTTTGCTTGGAATGAAAACCTTTGCTCAATTTGTGACTCCTTTCTTTCTTGTATCTCTCAGTCAGACCTTCAGCAAACCTCTCTAGATCTTTCTTCCAAATGTATTGAGAGGTCATCCACTTCTCTCTTGTCTGCCTCTACTGCCCTGATCCCAGGTCACCTTTGTCTCTTGCTAGGACTATGGGAATAATGTCTGTATTAGTTTGCTAGGAATTCCATAACAAAAGTACTGTAAACTAGGTAGTTTAACAGAAATTGATTGTTTTATGATTCTGGAGGCTGGAAGTCTGAAATCAGTCTCAGAATCAAGGCTGATTCCTTTTGAGGGGTGTGAGGGAAAATCTGTTTCAGCCCTTTTCCTTAGCTTCTAGTGTTTGCTGACAGTCCTTGGAATTTCTTATTATGCAGAAATAACACATTGATCTTCATATTCATGTCTAAATTTCCCCTTTATTAAGGATAGCAGCCGTACAAGATTAGAGCCCATCCTAATGACCTAATTTAGTTGGTTGCCTTTGAAAGGTTAAATTCTAAGGTGCTAGGGGTTTGGATTCTAGCATATTTTTGGTGAGAGAGACATAATTCAGTATATAATACTCTATTTCCACATAAGGTCACATTCACAGGTACCAGAGGTTAAGACTTCTATGTACCTTTTTGTGGGGGGGGGGACACAGTTCAACCCATAACAATGTCCTAATTCACTTTCTTTAGTCTGATCTTGCCTTCTTAAAGTCTTTCCAGAATAACAGTCAGACCAATCCTTTAAAATCACAATCAGGCCAGGCTGTTATTCTGCCCCAAATCTTCCAGTGTTTTCTCACCTCATTCTGAGGAAAAGCCTAAGTTCTTTGAATGGCTAACAAGTTCCTACATAGGCTGGTACTCACTGTTAAGTTCTCTTAACTGATGTTTCACTTCTTTGCTTGGCCACACGTGGTCTTCTTGCTGGACCTAGACCAGGGGTTCTCAACCTATGGGTCGTGACCCACAGGAACTGTATATAAGGGCAGCAGTATTACAAAGGTTGAGAACTACTGACTTAGACCCTGATGGGAATGGCCCTGCCTCAGAACTTTTGTTCTTCTTCTGCTTGAGCTGCTACAGCAGTGATTTTTCAACTGGTGTGCTGTGAGAGGATCTTAGGTGTGCCACAAAAAATTTTAAAGATGATTAATTAAATTATTTTTGAAAGAAGTACAGTAAGTATACAAATCAACATTAAAACCTCTTTAAATTGATTATATGAGGATGTCATTAAAATAAATAAATGTTTTTATTGTTATGATAAATAAACATTAGCTTATTTCTAAAATGGATTGGGTGTAGCCTTGAAAAATAAGGTTTTAGAACGTGTCCATAGATGGTGCAATGTGACAAAGATTTGCTGATGAACAATGATGTATGTCAAAATCATCCAGAGTGAATGAAGCTGTATGACTCAGCAATCCCTCATTGTGCCTGAAGTAGTAAGGATGTGTAGCTCATACTGAGCATGTCATAGTTCTGTCTAGATTTGAAATAGTGTGTAGTTGGACACAATTAGGGTGCACATCCTAGTTTTAAGACATTTCCAAGTATGTTTAATTAATACCTGTATTTTGAGTTACTTATTTACTTATTTTTATTAATTTTGATTTGGCACTTTTTATCACATAGTGTTCTATTAAAATGGACAAATTTTTAGTAAAGAAACAAAAATGAAAAGATGACCCTAGTGTGGGTGGCACCTGTGGCTCAGTGGGTAGGGTGCTGGCCCTGTATACCGAGGGTGGTGGGTTCACACCCAGCCCCAGCTAAACTGCAACCAAAAAAAATAGCCGGGCGTTGTGGCAGGCGCCTGTAGTCCCAGCTACTCGGGAGGCTGAAGCAAGAGAATTGCCTAAGCCCAGGAACTGGAGGTTGCTGTGAGCTGTGTGACACCATGGCACTCTATCCAGGGCGATAAAGTGAGACTCTGTTTCTACCAAAAAAAAAAAAAAGATGACATTAGTGTATCAAATACTGCTTCATCCAGTACACCAGCAACTAAATTAAAAATAATTAGTCATCAAAATAATGATGATAACTTATAATTCAATTTCATATGTAGTAAAGGAGATCCACCATATCCCACATGTGTAATTGTGGTGAAACATTAGCAAATGCAGCTGTGGTTCCTAACAAATTAAAGAGACGTTTATAACCTAGACTTTCTCACTTGTCTGAAAAGCTGGTGGAATATTTCATACGACTTGCACTCACTAGTACTAAACAAGCAAAAATATGGACCAAATATACAGTGATCTCAGATAAAGCACAAGAAGGGAGTTAACAGTTGTAGAAATCTTAGCTAGGAAAATGAAATCTCATATAATTACAGAATCTGTTATTTTACAGACCTGCTGTGCAATTGTAAAAACAGTGTTTAGAGTACAAAAAGGAAAATTTAAAAATTCCGCTTTCAGATAATACAATTTCTCTGCATGTTAAGTCACAAATGGATCAAAGATATTATTCTGAAAATACAGGATTTCAAGTACTATTTCACCTCAAAGAAGTAAACATGTTTGAAATTCAGTTGGGTGCATCTACTTATATCAGTGGTAAACTCCAACTTTTAGCATTTGGTAGATTGTCTATAAAGAAATCATAGAATAGTTGTTCTTTTTGTTTTTGAGACAGAGTTTCACCATGTTGCCCTTGGTAGAGTGCTGTGGCATCACAGCTCACAGCAACCTCAAACTCTTGGGCTGAAGTGATTCTCTTACCTCAGCCTTCCAAGTAGCTGGGACTGCAGGTACCCACCATAATGCCTGGCTATTTTTTTTTGTTGCAGTTGTCATTGTTGTTTTTTAGCTGGCCCAGGCTAGGTTTGAACCTGCCAGCCTTGGTGTATGTGGCTGGCGCTGTAACCACTGTGCTAACGGGTACTGAGCCTTTTTTTTTTTTTTTTTTTTTTTTTTTTTCGATGACTCTGAAGGACAACAAAGGGCCAGGATATTTTCTATTTGATTGATAATTACTTTAATTCTAATAACTTGTTTTGAGATTCCTGCATAAGCATTTGTAGGGATGGAGCCCCATCCATGTCAGAGGTGTTAAAGGATTTGTTACATTTGTGCAAAACAAGAATTCAAAAAAATTTTTTTTCTTGAGACAGAGCCTCAAGCTGTCACCCTGGGTAGAGTGCTGTGGCATCACAGCTTACAGCAACCTCCAACTCTTGGGCTTAAGCGAGTCTCCTGCCTCAGCCTCCCAAGTAGCTGGGACTACAGGTGCCCGCCAGAACACCTAGCTAATTTTTGGTTTTGTCATTGTTGTTTGGCAGGCCCAGGCTGGATTCAAACCTGCCAGCTCTGATGTATGTGGCTGGCATATTAGCTGCTTGAGCTACAGGCACCGAGCCAGAATTCAAAAAATTTTACACACTGTTTTCTACACAGAGAAGTGCTAGTGTCAAAATCATTTGTGCCTGATTACAAAAAGTCCTAGATGACACTATAAAAAG